AAAAAAATGCTTATAAACACAGCTACAGTGGAAACTGCTTTTCTGTTCGTCTGTTGCAGTGGCTGCCACTAAGTACCCATAAGCAGAGCAATAATTAACCTGTAATGACAGAAAACTCTTGAAGGGTGCATCACAAAGATATTTCACTGAGCATTTATTAATACGGTGGAATAAACGTTTATAAAAATACAGGTCATGAAAGATGAGAGTAGAAAAAAAGTCACCCTTGTTACTCTTTGGCTGGTCATCAGTGCCCTTTGCATGGAGGTATTAAAGCAGCAGCATTCTTTCAATACTTCTCAGGCTTCGGCTGGGCATTGCTCTTGTAGCAGGGATTTTCAGTCACCATGTCTTCTAGAAACATGTCCTCTGGTACAGGCAAAAAACACAAGGGCATTACAATCCCATTTCTGGAACCCCACAGACACCCTCAATTTGCTTTTGAGCATCATCTTCCCACCATCGTGGCAATGAATAGCCATGCTTGATATTGCTGATCACACCCCTGTGGAGAATGCCTTTCAATGTCTGCTTTACTTTTCTCCCTTTTCGGACCTGTTTTCTTCCTGAATACTGCCTAGGAAAAATAAATAGGGAAGAACGAGGAGCATGCCACATTTAATGCCGTGCAGAACCATTCTTTTAATTTAAAACCTTTTCTGTTCCCAAATAAATAATTACGACTGTCATACTCATTGCCCCATCAGTAGCATCCACCCCCAAGGCTCAACAATGACTTTCCCTCCGAGCACTAGGACCAGCAGCAGGACAGAAAAAGGACTAGGAGGGAACTCCTACCCCTACTGGTATAGCACAGATTTTCCCTCTTCTCTCTCCACCAGTTACATTAGGTCAAAAACAAAAGCACGATGTAGTTGATAGATTCATATCTTGTTCCTGTCCTTCTAGTTCTCAGCCCCACATCCCTTCTTCACATCATGTCTGTGGTTAGTTTTGAGCTGTCTGGGCCAGGGAGCTGTCTTTTTGTCTGCGCTGTTAGGCACTTGACATACTGTCGAGTACCATAAAATAAAATGACAGTAAGCACTCTTGGAATTGGCTGGTCTCCAGCTGTAGCCTTATTCTAGAATTGGCCGTCTTAAGGTCATTTTCACCAATCGCTAGTTAAGCCTTCTTCACCATAAAGCTCCCTTTTTAATAACTGATATGAATAACAAAACAGATGATAACACCCAGCAGTAGAGCTTAGAGTAAAGTAAATATGGAGGACTTTTACTTGAAATGAGGGTCTTTCTTTCCCTTGTTTGGAAATTTCCAGTACTTTCCAGTACATGTCCTTTAGAAATAAGAAAGGCCAGCAAGTCAGCTAGTGGCAAATGACTTCCACACTGGATAAATCTAGATACGAATCATGCCTGGGAACAGCATTCTTTTTGGCTGGGGTTAGATATTCTATTTATTTCTATATCTTGAGGTTTTCATGGAATTCCTCACCCTTACAGCTCCACTTTATGTACAGACATCTGGATATAAAGATATTTTCTCACTCCACAGTGGAATTTATATAGCTCTCCGAGGTAAAGCCAGTTCTTACACCATTTTGAAGGTTGTTCAGTGACAATTGTATTCCTCATATAATAGTAACAAGCAACATATTCTTGCTCCTCTTCTACAGTTCTGATAAAAAGCATGCCAGTCAATCAGGGCTGTTAAAGTAATCTGATCCCGCAAACCAGGTAAGTGGTGCAGGACTGGTCTACAGGCCAAGATAACAGTGCAGAGCCAGCCCTGTGTGCCAAATCTGACCCACGGACCACCTCCAACCCCACATACTGAATCTAGTGCCCACTCTGGCTGGTCCCAGATTGTCCTGTATGTGACACTTTCTCTGGTGAGTCTGGGATGCAAGTGATCCAGGGCAGTTACTACATGCAGCGCAGGTCCCAGAGCGAGCCCCACGTGTAGTGCAGTGTTGGCTGGAATGGGTGCTGTGGGCGCTGGATCCAGCAGGCAGGAGGAGTGGGGAGGGTCCATCAGTTTGATCCAGCCTGTGAGGTGGGCTCTGTGCCATTCTTCCAGACCCCGCCACCCCACATGCCACATCCAGTGCCTACTCTGGGCAGTCTGGGATTGCACTGCTTGAGGTGTCCACTCCAGGACCTATGCTGCATGTGGCGTCAGCCCTGGACTGGATGGTGCAGATACCACATGTGTCTTGTGTTCCAGACCAGCAGAAGCAGGCACTAGATCCAGCATGCGGGGAGGAGGAATTCCTGACTGGCCCCTTGAAGGTGCTGTGTACAGCATTGGACGCCACATGCAGTGCATGACCTGGGCCCTGTGTGAGGGGCCAGTCCAGCTCCTGCTATCTGTTGTGTGTGGGTTAATGCAAGACGTAGGCACTGTAGGGCCAGATGATGTAGCTCCACAGGCTGGATCTAGCCTATGGGCTGCATCATTGACATCCCTGCGTGATCACTTCCTTTTACATATGTAACCCAGGCGGTACTCCAAGAGGTACCCTTTCTCCAATTGAAGGGATCAAAGCAGGTGCACAAGCACTGTGGGAGGTGAAGGACTCTCCTCCCCCTATAGAGCAGAGCCAGACCACCAATGGGGACTTCACCATATACCTTTTAACGAGAGAACAGTACTGGGAACATAACCAGTATAAACCAGGGGGTCTAGGGGACACTACAATGCCCCGAGTGGCTCAGTGAGCAACTGTTCACTAGGGCACCCCTGGGGAAGACCAGGACTAATGAATACAAACTCCTGGAAGGCCGCTTCAGGCTTAACACTAGGAAAATCTCCTTCACAGTCAGGGTGTCCATACTGTGGAATAAACTCCCTCCAGAGGTGGTGCAGTCACCTACCCTGGAGGTTTTCAAGAGAAGGCTGGACAGTCACCTTGCTGGGGTCACTTGACCCCAGTTGTCTTCCTGCCTAGAGCGGGGGGGGCTGGACCTGATGATCTGCAAGGTCCCTTCCAGCCCCTAACAACCTATGAATTTATGAAAATGATGACATAAAGGACATACAGACATAAAAGAGATACTACCGTCAAAGGTGAATCAAAGAGTCAAAGGATCTTAAAACATGCCTGCAGTGCCACATACTGCACATTCAGGTATTCTCCACGCTGCAAGATAGCACCACAGGGTGGGAGGGTTTTGAACCCCAGGGATCACGGGGTCAAAAAACCCTGTACACAAAAAAAAAAAAAAAGCAGCAGGGTGGAACATGTGAGGACAGTGTGCACAGCCTAAAACCAGAGCCTGGCTAGCTGGAGCCATGCTCCAGCTGCTGGCCAGGCGCTACAGCCTCAGAAGGCCCCCCAAGACCCCTGGCAATGCTGCTGGGGCCAGCACAGTGTTGGCCCAAGCCTTCCCTACCCAGCCCAGGGTAACCTGCCATGCACCAGAGTGGCACAGGAGTTCCCCAGGGACAAGTAGTAGTGGCTGAAGGTGTGCTGTTGCTTCTTGTCCCCAGGGAAACAAATGTCCACGCTCATGTGAACATGGCCCAGGAGGCCATCTCGTTCAACCCCATGCTCAAGGCAGCATCGTCTCTGACGAACCATCCCCAGTCAACTGTCTAATATGTTCTATAAAAGTCTAAAGATGGAGTTTCCACAGCCTCTCTGGGTAGCCTGTTTCAATGCTTAACCACACTCATAGAAAGTTTTTCCTCATATTCAACCTAGATTTCCCATTGCAAAATAAGACAACTGCCCTTCATCCTAACCCTTGCACAGAAAATAGTCTCTCTCCTCTGTACCAGGCAGGGGGAAACATCCTAGGGTTGCCATGCTCTCCCCTAGCACCCCCTACCATGCCAAGTTTGGGTTAAAGCACCCTCATTCTCAACCGCCACGTCTTGATCTTATAAAAAGTAAAGGGAGGTTGCCTCTCGTCCTCCTAGTCACGGTTCCTGCCACCCCGTGCCTTGTTTATATAATGGGGGTCTGAGCACCCCAGCCTTATGGGCTAT